TTTTGGTAAAAAAAAAAAAAAAATTAAAAAAAAATTGAAAAAAAATTAAACAAAAAATAAAGAAATTTAATAGAATAAAATTTTAAAAATATAAAATCCGGTTCAATAACTTTTTTGAAGTTTTGGTCCTTCTTACCTACAAAACAAACCAAATTCAAAACACTAAATGGAAAAAGCCCATAACCTTCCTTGGACCCCGAGGTTAAATGGATCCCCCTAAAATAATAAAATATAAAAAGATGATAATAATAATAAACAAATGGAATAAGTGGGATAAAAACGACTAGCAAAAGCATAATAATGATGAGCCAGATTGGATAATCTGTACTGCCCCGCGTGAAACGGAGGATTGCCATAATGCATAACAGGCCAGCCGCGAAATGCAAAGGCGCAAAACTAAAGTAAAGTATACAATAAATATATAAAATACACCATTACTCCTGTACCACAGAGTTGTCAAAAACCATGGTACATCAGTTATGTTTGAAAGATTTACGTCCGAGAACGGTATATGTACGTGCGTACTGATGACTTCCAGATGTTTCGATTTATGATATTTGTCACCAGACGCATCGTTTGTGATACTTCCCGTCTAGGAGTTGATAACAATAACAATTATCATTATTATTACTTTTATTATTGCAATTGTATTATGCGATCACCATTATTACTCCCATTATCATCATTATTACCAGTGTGATTGTTATTATTACCGGTATCATTTTCATTATCGCTATTTTTACTATTATTATTACTATCCTTATCATTATGATCTTTATCAATACTACTGTAATTTATACAATTATCATTATTTTAACTATCACTATTATTATTACCATGATTAATATTATCTTTATCATTGTAATTATAATATTAACATTTACACTACCATTTTTATACTTATTAATCCTATATTTATATCTATTGTAATTCTACTCGTATTTCTCTTGCTTTTCCGATCATACATTCACATGATAATATTACGTATTAGGCCTGGATTCATATTCCATGTGACTGCGGACTTGAAGTAAAATCATTTTGGTGTAAAATGGGGTGATAATAGCTAACATGAATATTAAAAGATGACGCTCATGCATCATATCATGAATTGATGAGAACAATATCATGATTATTTTAGTTATTGCTATGTTTTGGCATTATCATTATTGTTATTAGTATTATCATTATTATCCTCTTTATCATAATCACAGTCATCATCATCATCATCATCATCATCACCTTCATCATCTTCATCATTTTTCTTACTATAACTATTATTTTTATCCATATATTTATTACTATCAGTCTTCCTTGAGGCAAGTACACTGCATTGAAGTAGTTGGACAGTCAGTCTGTACGCATTTTTTATTCATATGAGAAAAAGGAGAAAGAAAATTGAATAATATAAACGGGAGAGGGAGGAAGGGAGGAAAGGGAGCCTGAAAAAGGGAAAGAGAGATGGGGAAAGGGAAACAAGAAGGTAAGAGAGGGGACTTAGAAAGGGAAAGGGGTGGGTAACAGGAAATGGGGGGGAAAGGGAGAAGATCAGAGAAAGGAGTCTAGGAGATAAGGGAGTGAAGAAGGAAAAAGGAAGTGGGAGGAGGTAGAGGAAGGGCTTAAAGAGGAAGAAGAGAAAGTGAAGTTAAGGACGATTTGGGATTGAGAATGAGTGGGCAAGCTGGTGAGGGAAAGAAAGGGGGGAAGGAGAAGGGAGAGGAGATTCGAAAAGTAAGATAAGGAGAATGATAGAGAGAGAGAAAGAGAGGAGGACAGAGAGAGACTGAAAGAGAGAGGGGAGGACAGAGAAAGAAAGAGAGGCATTGTTATGAACATCATCATCATTGTTATTGATATCAATATCATTATCCTAACTATGATGATGATGATGATATAATTATTACCATTATCATCGTCACTATTATTATATTTTTACATTTATCATCGTCACTATTATTATCATTATTACCATTATCATCGTCACCATTATTATCATCACCTTTGCCATCATAATCACCATCATAACTATAACCATCACCATTCACCATGACACATTCTCAATCGCTTGATCCAACCCCCTTTTAACAAACACAAATCTACTTACCATTTAAGGATATACATGTCAGCATAATATTCTGACCAGGGTAATAGGGACCCAGAATCCCGTTTCTTGGATGACCTGTCTGTCTGTCGATAATCTGCACGCTGCTTGGCAACTCTGCAATAGAAGAGGTCAAAGGTCATATGATAAGGTCATTTGTATGGTGTTGGGTTTGTTTACGTGGTAACTCTGCAATAGAAGAGGTCAGAGGTGATATAAGGTCATTTGTATGGTGTTGGGTTTGTATACGCGGGAACTCCGCAATAGAAGAGGTCAAAGGTCATATGATTAGATCATTTGCATGGTGTTGGGTTTGTTTAACGTGGGAACTCTGCAATAGAAGAGGTCAGAGGTGATATAAGGTCATTTGTATGGTGTTGGTTTTGTTTACGCGGTAACTCTACAATAGAAGAGGTCAAAGGTCATATGATAAGGTCATTTGTATGGTGTTGGGTTTATTTACGTGGCAACTCTACAATAGAATAGGTTAAAGGTCATATGATTAGGTCATTTGTATAGTGTTGGGTTTGTTTACGTGGGAACTCTGCAATAGAAGAGGTCAGAGGTCATATAATGAAGTCATTTGTATACTATTAGGTTTGTTTACGTGGCAACTCTACAATAATAAAAGGTCATATAAGGTCATTTGCATAGTGTGTGTGTTGGGGTTGGGTGGGGTACATGTGGAGGACAGAATTATAAAAGTGCTTAGAATAAAAGTAAGTTGATGGGTAAATAGCTATATTTGTATACATATAAATATCAAATGAACTTAAAAGATTTCAAGATTTTTAAAAAATGGATTTAAAGAATTAAAATAAGAAGTAGCAAAAAAAAAAAAAAAAAAAGAAAGAAAAAAAAGACAAAAAATAAATAAATAAATAAAAAAAAATGAAAAAATAAAAAAAATACTGCACATACAAAAATCTATACAAATAAAAATACTTATACACGGTACAGTTTACACATACACGCACACAAGCTTATGCAAAAATCTCCAGTTTACTCCCCTTTAAATCACTCTAACGAGCGAGCGAGGGAGAGCGAGAGAGAGAGAGAGAGAGAGAGAGAGAGAGAGAGAGAGAGAGAGAGAGAGAGAGAGAGAGAGAGAGAGAGAGAGAGAGAGAGAGAGAGAGAGAGAGAGAGAGAAGAGAGAGAGAGAAGAGGAGAGAGAGAGAGAGAGAGAGAGAGAGAGAGAGAGAGAGAGAGAGAAGAGAGAGAGTAAGAGAGCGAGCGAACGAGCAAGAGCGAGAGCTAGAGAGAGAGAGAGAGAGAGAGAGAGAGAGAGAGAGAGAGAGAGAGAGAGAGAGAGAGAGAGAGAGAGAGAGAGAGAGAGAGAGAGTAGGACGTAGAAGAGTAAGACGTAGAGAGAGAGAGAGACGGACAAATAGAAAGAAAGACAGAAAGACAGACAGACAGAGTGAGTAGCAGAAACGCAAAAACCCTGAATGAAATCCAGACACAGAGAGAGGATCGAGGGAAAGCCAGACATGGAGAGAGAGGATCCAGAGCAAGTGGAACAAGGGGCTATCCCCGTTTATCCCGAAGGTAAGTAGGCCCTATAAACTCGCCAGCCATATTGATCGCCGGGGCATATAATGTCTTTCATGCAAATGAAAAAGAAAGAGGAAAGAGACGTGGGGGGAAGAGAAAGGGGGAAGGGGAGGGGAAGGGGGAAGGGGGGGAGGGATGGAGGGGGGTAAAACTGCGTGATATTACAAGGAGAGACGAAACGTTTTTTTTTTTTTTTTTTTTTTAATTCCCCGTGTGTTTTGCGATCTGTTTTTACTTCCGCTTTTTTTTTTTTTTTTTTTGGGGGGGGGTATTTCGTTCTCTTTCTCGTCTCTTTCTGTCTGTGTCTCTGTTTCTGTTTCTCTGTCTCTCTCTCCCTTCCTCTTCCCTCTCTCTCCCTCTCTCGCCCTCCTCCCTCTCCCCTTCTCTATCTTCCTCCCTCCCTTCCACCCTCTCTATCTCCCCTCCTTTCCCCTCCCTCCCCCCCTCTCTATCTCCCTAACTCTCTCTCCCTCCCCCCTCCCCTCTCTCCCCTCCCTCTCTTCTCCCCTCCTCTCTATCTCCCTTTCTCGTTATCCCCCTTATCCTACTTGAAGACCTACACTCCCCATTTCCTCCTTACGATCTGTAATTCGATAAAGGGCCTATAAATTTAGACAATAAGGTGTTATTATCACCATCTTACGCCTGAAGATACACGTCTATATATAATTTCATCCTTGTTATTGTTGTTCTTCATATTCGTTATATTTTCTGTGTATTAAATATTTTTTTTTTAGATTCTCTATGTACTTTTTTTTCTCTCTCGTTTTTCTGGTATTTCTATATATATCTCCTTCTCCCCTTTCTCCACTAATTCTATTCTACACTTCCTCCTTCCTTCTCTATCTTCCCTCCCTCCTTCCTCCTTCTCTCTTGTCCTTTATCTCCCGTTTCTTTCTTCTCTTCTTTCTTCTCTTCCTTCTTCTTCTCTCTCTTTCCCCCTCCCCTCCCTCCCTCTTTCTCTCTCTCTCTCTCTCTCTCTCTCTCTCTCTCTCTCTCTCTCTCCTCTCTCTCTCTCTCTCTCTCTCTCTCTCTCTCTCTCTCTCTCTCTCACTCTCTCTCTCTCTTTCTCCATTCTCCCTCTCACTCTCTCTCTGGCTCTCTCTTCTCTCTTTTTCTTCACTCTCTCATCTCTCTCTTTCTCTCTTGCTCCTCTTTCCCTCACTTTGTTGTTTTTTCCCTTTTTATTTTCCACATTTTCTCTGTTCTTTCTTCCTCTCCTCTCCTCCTTTTCCCCATTCTGTCATCACTCCCTCTGCTCCCTTCCCTTTCCTATTTTCCTCTATTTCCCCTCTTTCTCCCTTCCCCTAATCCCCCTTCACCACCTCTCCATTCTTCCTCTTAATCCCCCAGCTTCCCCTCCCTCCTCCCTCCTCATCCCCTCGTCCTCTCTCTCCCCTCTTTCTCCCCTACTCCTCCCCTCCTCCTTCTCCTCCCCTCACACCTTCCACGTCTTCTCCTCCCATTTCTTTCCCACTGTCTCCCTCCTCCTCTCCCCTGCTCCTTCTCCTCCCTCACCCTACCCTCGTCCATCTCTTCCCATTTCTTCCCCTCCTCCTCTCCCCTGCCTCTCTTTCCTCCCTCCTCCTCCTCCACCTCCTCCTCCTCCTCCTCCCACCTCCTCCTCTCCCTGCCTCCTTTCCCTCCTCCTCCTCCTCCTCTTCCTCTCTCTCCCAACCTCCACCTCCCCTCCTCTACTCCTCCTCTCTCTCTCTCCCCATCCACCTCCCTCACCTCCTCCATCTCCCCTCCTCGTCTATAGTAAAATCCGTATCCAGGCTATTACTGTCATGAGAATACCACTGCAGCAGCTGTAATAGCCCCCCCCCCGCCCTCCTTCCCTCCCTCCCTTCCTCCGCCTTCCCTCCTCCTCCCTCCCTCCTTCCCTCCTCCCTTCCTCTTCCCTCCTCCTCCCCTCCCTCCCTCCCTCCCTCCCTCCCCCCTCCTCCCTCCCTCCCTCCCTTCCTCCCTCCCTCCGACGCTGTTCCCGGTACAGACGCGTTCAACAGTGTTTGCCCAGCGTTCTCGTAACAGGAATCCCCGGAGCCTCCATAAGCGAACGCAAACTGGCTGGTGCGTCTACTTGTGTCTAAGAGAGGGAGGAAGGTATTGTGGATGGGAGAGGGAGAAGGGGGGATGGAGGGGGAGAGAGAGGGGAGAGGGAGAGGGAGGGAGGGGGAGTGGGAGGGGTAGAGGGAGAAAGGGAGGGGGAGAGGGAGAGGGCGAGAGAGAGAGGAAGGGGGATTGGGAGGGGGAGAGGGAGACGGAGACGAAAGAGGGAGGGGGAGGGGAGAGGGAGAAGGGAGGGAAGAGGAGAGGGATTGGGAAAATGAGAGTGAGAGGGAAAGGGAGAGGGAGAGGGGGAAGGAGGGATGGGCGGGGCTACCTGATGGTAACTTGGGTGGTAGTTGGAGAGGAAAAAAAAGTGAGTTAAATGTATGCACACACGGGCACATACACATAAATACCCTTTCATATACGCACATATACATAAACACACACACACACAAGCACACACATACACCCCCCAAACACACATAGACAGACGGACAGATAGATCGACAAATATGCAGATAAACAGGCGATGAATACATAAATAAACAAAAAAACACGGCAATTTCAAAATCTATCGCCACTAATATCAACAAACAAGAGAAGAAGAAGAAGAAGAAGAAGAAGAAGAAGAAGAAGAAGAAGAAGAAAGATAAAGAAAAGAAAAGAAATGGAAAAGAAAAGAAGAAAGAAGAAGAAAAGAAAAGGAAACAAAAGAAAAGAAAAGGAAGAAGAAGAAGAAAGAAAAGGAAAGAAGAAGAAGAAAGAAAAGAAAAGAAAGAAAGAAAAGAAAAAAGAAAAAGAAAAAGAAAAGAGAAAAAAAGGGATGGATGAAATGAGATGAGAGAGGACGAGGGGAGTTGCGTGGATGCTGGAGAGAGGAGAGGGAGGGAGAGGGAGGGAGGGAGGGAAGAGGGAGGGAGGGGAGGGAGAGAGGAATAGGGAGGGAGGAGGGAGGGAGAGGGAGGGAGGGAGGAGGGAGAGAGGAGGGGAGGGAGGGAGGGAGGGAGGGAGGGAGGGAGAGGGAGGGAGGGAGGGAGGAGAGGGAGGGAGAGAGAGAAGAGAGAGAGGAGAAGGGAGGGAGAGAGGGAAGGGAGGGAGGGAGGGAGGGAGGGAGGGAGGAGAAGGGAGGGAGGGAGAGAGAGGAGAGAGGAGAGGGAGGGAGTAGGGAGAGGGAGGGAGGGAGAAGAAAGAGAACAGACGTAGGGATAGATGGATGGATGGATAGACAAAGAAAATAGAGAAATCGATAGACAAATATATCGATATTCTCGTATATACAATTAACAGACAAATACAGAAAGGTAGACAAACATACATTCGCAAACACAAGAAGCAATTACAAACACGTGATCAAAATATTCTCACAAATACACCAAAACAAACAGAGAAGACTGATAAACAAACAGAAATATACCCAAAACACAGACATTAGATACACATCTCTCTCTCTCTCTCTCTGCCTCTCCTCTCTCCTTCTCTCTCTCTCCGGCTTCCTCTCTCTCTTCTCTCTCTCTCTCTCCTACTCCTACTCTCTCTACATGCCTACTCTCTATACTCTCTCTCTCTCTCTCTCTCTCTCTCATCCTCTCTCTTCTCGTCTCTCTCTCTCTCTCTCTCTCTTCGTCTCTCTCTCTGCTCTCTCTCCGTGTCTCTCTGCTCTTCGTCTACGTCCTACTCTCTCTTACTCTGTCTTCTCTCTCTCTCTCTCTGTACTCTCTCATCTCTTCTCCTTCTCTCTCTTCTCATCTCTTCTCTCATGCTCTCTCTCATTCTCCTCTCTCCCTCCTCTCTCACTCGACTCACTTATCTCTCTCTCTCTCTCTCTCGTCTTATAACATTCACTCTAACTCTCTACGTCCCGTTACTATCGTTCTCGTCGTCGGCTGCTCTGGCAGTCTCGCACTGCGCATCACTCATATCAGTCTCAGATCTGCATTGTCCGCACTCATTATTGAGGCTCTGCTTCTCTTCTACGAGCAT